TAATTCGACGCGTGGTATTTCAACGCGTGGTAATTCGATGCGTGGTAACTCCACTCGCTGTAATTCAACGCGTGGTAATTCGACGCGTGGTAATTCGACGCGTAGTAATTCGACGCGTGATAATTCGACGCGTGGTATTTCAACGCGTGGTAATTCGATGCGTGGTAACTCCACTCGCTGTAATTCAACGCGTGGTAATTCGACGCGTGGTAATTCAACGCGTGGTAGTTCCACGCGTAATAATTCAACACGTAGTAACTCCACGCGTGGTAATTCAACACTCTGGTCTATCTTCCTATACTCGCGGAGGAAATAAAGTCACTCTTGTTATCTGTTAATTTGTTAAAACCTTGTTTAGCCTTAATTTTGTCTTACTCTCAATCTGATGCAAATCTAGTCTACAATTACGAACAATTGTCTCTAGATCTGAATTAGTATAACTAACTCATAATATATTAAAAATCGATGTAAATATTTTTAGAATCCAATAAATTGTCTTATCATGTCTTACGCAATATATATTACAATTTATTTTCCTGTATATACAATTGTCCATTTTGTGTTTCAGACTTTCAGAAGCTCGAACGTGAGGCACGGATATGCAGGAAGTTGCAGCATCCAAATATCGGTAAGCATTATTTTCATATTGTTTATATTACGAAATACAGTGTACAATGTGGCTGTGATCGAAGTAGGCGTTTCTCGACGAGGTTACAAATGATTCATGTCACTCGCGGATATGTAAATATCGAGATAGGTTGAAGATCGTGGCGGCTTTGCGTTCAGGCTAGTAGATACGGCTCTCGCTGGTCAGACACGCGAGCGTAAAATTAGACCTTCGATCTCTATACGTTATACTTGTTTCTTTATTTTTGGGCTTAGTATTGACGGAAATCATTAACATGTCAATTGCTGTCGTAAAAAATTACGGGATCGTGTTTGACGGTACTTTAGTGGACTCTAAATGGTAGCTTAGACGATGTTCAATTGTTTCATGCACTTTCTGTATAGCATTTTTTACGTGCATTTTCTACATAGCATTTCTACATAGCAATCATTATGTACATTTTCTGCATAACATTTTGTACATAGCATATGATGTATCTCTGTACCATCCAATGATCAATAAGTCTAAACTAACCAAACCAAAATGAATCATAACACCTTACAAATCCAACAAACAATCCTCCATATCGCCATAAAATTAATCGTCAATTTCAAGAGTCTATTAAAGACCCGTTTAACCATGACCATAAAGGGAAGTGTTATGCAGGTCGTGGAAATATATTCATTGGAGCGGTATAAAGGGCACGTGGAAGCTCTCGATCGACCACCAATGTCACCGTGTCGCTAACGATGAAAATTATAAATGGGAACTAAGAAGTGGACAATATTGGAATCCAATAAACCGGGAAAGTGAACAAACACGATGTTGTCCAGATCGGTAACAGATCGAATTCGTTTTCCAGTTACGCCTCATATTTTTATTTCTTGCCTTTGATTTCAGTTATAGAAACCTTTCGTTCGCGAATCCCGACGTTTACCCAGCGTTAATTCGACGCGTGGTACTTCCACGCGTGATAATTCAACGCGTGGTTATTCCACGCGTAGAAATTCAACGCGTGGTAATTTGACGCGTGGTGATTCTACGCGTGGTAATTCGACGCGCGACGATTCCACGCGTGGTAATTTGACGCGTGGTGATTCCACGCGTGGTGATTCCACGCGTGGTGATTCCACGCGTGGTGATTCCACGCATGGTGATTCCACGCGTAGTAATTCCACGCGTGGTAATTCGACGCGCGGTGACTCCACGCGTAGTAATTTGACGCGTGGTGATTCCACGCGTGGTAATTCGACGCGTGGTGATTTCACGCGTGGGAATTCGACGCGTGGTAATTCGACGCGCGGTGACTCCACGCATAGTAATTTGACGCGTGGCGATTCTACGCGTGGTAATTCGACGCGTGGTGATTTCACGCGTGGTAATTCGACGCGTGGTGATCCCACGCGTAGTAATTCGACGCGTGGTAATTCGACGCGTGGTGATTCCACGCGTGGTAATTCGACGCGTGGTAATTCGATGCGTGGTAATTCGATGCGTGGTAAATCGACGCGTGGGAATTCGACGCGTGGTAATTCGATGCGTGGGAAATTGACGCGTGGAAATTCGGTGCGTACAACTAATTCAAGTATTTAGCGATCTTTAACTATAGAAGCTATTAGTTAGACCTAACCAAATTGAAGAGTACTAAAAATTTGAGTCACGTGTACAACAAGATATTACGTTAAGTTCTCAGTTCGAAAATTTCGAAAATGTAGGATAATTTGTGTACGTGTGTCGAGGATAATCGATAGAAGCAGATATAAACCCTTTAAACGCTTACTCAACTTTCGATAACACGAACTTTTGATCGCTCTCGACTCAGCATCATCTGAATTTACTAGGCCATCGATCTTTCTTGGTTCGGTGTCAAGAATCGCAGGATCACGTGATCAGGCTCTCTTGCGAACAAAGAATAATCGCGTTTCGCGATCTCGTTCGATCGGGGCCACATCGAATAATCGAGTAGCATTCTAATTTTACATCCTGAAGAGCGGACCACCTGTTATCTCGCCACATCTCGGGATTTTCTTACCGCCGATCTTGCAGAAAACGTTGCCGAGCCATACTTGGCACTCGCGACGACAATTTTCTCCTCGCTGTCATGTCGGCGAGAAAACGAGATTGGCTTGCATCCAGGTGTCTTTTAACCGTCGGGTTGATTCAAGGTTGGCATGGCTAATCGCGTTTTCGCCAAATTTCCTCGTTACCCTAGAACGGACTGCAGACCTTTTATGCAAATGTCTTTTCCCGACCGTTTTTCCCTGAGAAAATTGCCCGGCGCACGATTAATTTATCGGTGGATACCAGGTTCGACACGCGAACGATCGGAAGAGCGGTAATTCTCGATGGGTCGGTCTCCGGGGAACAATCTCGGCTCCGACACAACCGGCCACCTTCGGCTAATTGGAATCGTGGTTAACGTTACTTGTGCTTTACTTCGGGACAAATTATAATATCACCGAGATGCTCGAAATTATGAGCGCCAAACTGTTTCGATTATCCATTTAATTATCACGCTTGTCTGTATTTTAGCGAAAGGATGCTCTGTGAAGATGTATGTACGTATCTACATTACAATATGTTTTAATTAGAAATTAAATTAATTTATGAACTAGTAAGTCCCTAGAAGTCATGGAGGTCTAAGTGCATCGTCGAAACGCAGATATCGACAGGTGTAACAATAGAGAAAAGCTCTGTGAAATTTGTCCTAGCCGACTGTCAAGGATACGTGACACGGCAATTAACGTTTTAGTTTTTTCTCTTTATTAATCGATCGAACGGAAAGGAAACTAGTTGGCTGGTATTTGTGGCAATGCAACCGTGTTGAGCCACGGTCGAACGAGTAATCTCTCGGCTGTTCTTTTATTCGTCCGCAAACGAATTTTATTGACCATTACCTGTCACGAATCCTTTCGCGATACCCGCGATGCATAGAACGGGGGATAATCGAGAACGAATGTATCGTTTCATTCATGGAATAATTATTGATTTCATTCATGGAATAATCGTTGCGTGATAAATTGTTCTTTGGCGATGAAATTTTTCGCTAAAATTGCCGTTCGATCGAGCTTTTCGTCGAACCCGCCCCGGAGGTTCGTACCATTCACTTTTTAGATAACAACCGGAATGCATAATTAGAATTTGATTCGGTGAATCGGAACGGCGAAGTTGTTTCGAGATTCTTGGAAAACGAACGTTGGTTATCTCGATTTTACGTGGCTACCGCGCTTTTCCCGGGAACTTGTTCCAAGTTTGGAGTAGCCGGTGAATTCTCGGAATAAAAGTTCTTTTCGCGGAGAGAATCGTATGACCAATTAAACGGCGATTCTTGGCGCGCACGAGGGTGTTCATTTGCTTCGAATTTCTACGCAGAAATTCTTCGAAATCTCTCGAGAAATTCTAATCCGTCGATCACCTCGAATTTCGCTTCTGTGTGCTCGCACAAAGGTAAGCTTCCCAGTTTGATAGAACACAGAGAACCTTTAACGATTCTGATCCAACGGGAATGCTTCAAAGAATCGTCTCTTTGACTTCCACATCGAACACGAATTCGCAGCCAATATCGGACGAGATGTTAAAATTACCTGCTCGTTTTTAGTCATTTTCGAACTCGTTTGGAATAATTCAATGAAAATTATGCCTTCGTAATTTTATCGATTTCATTTCAGTACTTAATTACTCGAATTGATATCGAACGTGTTGCTACGTTATACATGTAGCTACGCTTATATGGCCATGCGTTATATGGCCATGCATTATATGGCTACGTGTTGAATCTGAATATGTTGTATATTTATATGGTTGTGATACTATGCGTTATATCATTACATATTATATTTTCCATGTGTTAAATTGCCACGTGTTATATCACCACGCGTTGTAATTCCACGCGTCGAATTATTTCGCGTTATATCGCCGCGCGTTATATCACAACGCGTAGTATTCCCACGCGTTATATCGCCACGCGTAG